ATAGGACTACTCCTAATTCCTCAGGGAATAAAGTATACTGTATCCCCTGAGAAAATAGGAGCAGTCCTTTGGGACATGCAGGGATAAATAAAATATATTACACTATTGCAGGCCTCTTTTGTGCTTGTTTTCCCAGATATCCCGTAATAACAAATGATTAATTGTGGCGTGTGGGAGACAAATACTCAAAGAAGAAGCTGCATAGCACACATCCACTAAATATGTTAAGTGAACTCTGTGGACATTTGTATCTATTTGCAATGATAGTGGATAGGAATAAGTATAATGATAAAAACCCAAATTTATAAGGGATATAGCATAGTGGTTTTTTTGCAATCCTTTCTAGTAAGAAAACACTGATTTTATTAACATTAGCTCAGCATGAATTCATATCGTATAGATACTGATTAATGGCTATACATTTACTCATTTGTAAAACACTTTTTTTATCCAGTATCAATGTGTCATCCAAGAAGGAAAAAAAATGAGTTAAGTTAGAAACCAGGCCAATATTCATATCTTTACGTCAATAAATAATGCTTCCCTATATAAAGTCTGCCCAGCTGCTATGATTGAATGTGGAATAATTACAAAGTTTTAAAGAAATTTACAACAGAAAATAATGTACAAAATCCTTATTTACAAGTATTCACCATAATGTGCTTGCAAACTGAGCAGCTTACCTGGATAGCGATTAATCAAACGCAATGCTGAATCTAGGCTAATGCAAATTGAAAGCTTAGGCTGACAAAGTGTGCTCACCTAGTGTAAAATAATTCCTTCTTTTTTTTTTTTTTATAAATAGCATGTTGACTACAGTATAAAGGTTTCATGCTGTGTACAGTAGCCTATTTAGAAATTCTATGTATCATTAATATTCAAGAAAAGAAAAAAAAAAAGCTATTATTTCATGCTCATTGGAACACTATATTCATGGTTGTTAATTGATTTTTTTTTTTTTAGAATGTATACTTTGATTTTTTTTTTTTAAATGTATACTTTTAGCAACATCTTCTTATACCATATAGAGATGTCGCGAACCGTTCGCGAACTTCGCGCGAACGGCTCGCCGCGGTTCGCCGCTGTCCAGGAGGTGGGAGGGTCTGGGAGGGAGGGTCTGCTGGAGATTGGCCGGGATGTGTCAGCTGACCGGAGCTCGCCGCGAACGGTTCGTGGCGAACCGTGGCGAGCCGTTCGCGGGAAGTTCGCGAACGGTTCGCAACATTTCTAATACCATACTCATATAAACTAATTCCACTTGAAACACAAAAAATTGTTTATTTCCCACACCGCAACATCAGTTTTCCATCTCAGCTATATGTCTAGGCATGGCTATTTTGGGTTGAATTTTACTATTAAATTTTGATTCACTAATTAAGTGTTTATTAAAAAACAAACAAAGTTGAGCTATTGACAAAGATATCGTGGAGTACAGGTTAGCATCATTGGTTTATAAGGAACATTAGCAATCCTGAAATAGAACACTCTGATCCTACTATTAAGTTATTAAGTGACAAAAACTATTGAACTTAGGGTATGAAAGATTAGCTAATGAAATATATGCATTTGTTTGTGTCCATGCATATGTGTGTATGTTTTCATACTACTGAATTGTTAAAACAAATAAGATGCACTCTCCTTATTGAACCATCATGATAGGTGTCTTTATAAGCTTAGCTGTCAAATGATCAGCACCAGCAACATTTGAAAAATCAAAAAAACAGATTTGTTCTTGCGTTTTCGATTTTAGAAGTGGCCACGCAATGACCTGCTCAGAATATTTGACCGTGCGTTATAGCCAGGCAATTAGGACCTGAACACATTTATTTTTTCATTTGGAAATGAATATACTATTTATTTAGCACAGTGTTTTTTTGTTAGGATGTTGCACTACACCTAAATATATCTAGATTAGAAACTACAAATAACTAGGAAAGGAAATAAATATCTAGGGTCTGCACTACAGGTAAAATACATCACTTATCTCCCAGTAATTGTAAGTAAGCACAAAGTCCTTTACTTGCATACAGTAAATATATTATACACTGAACAAAATTATAAACACAATACTTTTGTTTTTGCCCCCATTTTTCATGAGCTGAACTCAAAGATCTAAGACTTTTTCTATGTACACAAAAGGCCTATTTCTCTCAAATATTGTTTACAAATCTGTCTAAATCTGTGTTAGTGAGCACTTCTCCTTTGCCGAGATAATTCATCCACCTCACAAATGTAGCATATTAAGATGCTGATTAGACAGCATGATTATTGCAAAGGTGTGCCTTAGGCTGGCCACAATAAAAGGCCTCACTAAAATGTGCAATTTTATCACACAGCACAATGCCACTGATGTCGCAAGTTTTGAGGGAGCGAGCAATTGGCATGCTGACTGCAGGAATGTCCACCAGAGTTGTTGCCCGTGAATTGAATGTTCATTTCTCTACCACAAGCCGTTTCCAAAGGTGTTTCAGAGAATTAGGCAGTACAGCCAACTGCTCTTACAACCGCAGACCACGTGTAACCACACCAGCCCAGGACCGCCACATCCAGCATCTTCACCTCCAAAATCGTCTGAGATCAGCCACCCGGACATCTGCTGCAACAATCGGTTTGCATAACCAAAGAATTTCTGCACAAACTGTCAGAAACCATCTCAGGGAAGCTTATCTGCATGCTTGTCATCCTCACTGGGGTCTTGACCTGACTGCAGTTCGTCGTCGTAACCAACTTGAGTAGGTATAATTCATAAGGATAATTCATAAATCTCTATAAGTTAAGCATTCATTGTATGTAATATCATTGAAAAATTGGTTCATTAATAAAAAAGTTATTAATTCCTTAAACCCCACTCTGAATTTTGGCCCAAAGAACAACATATTTTGATGCTACAAACCTTGCCCAAGACATGTGCCCTTTCATTCATAGATTGTAAGCAGTGGCGTCGCTAGGGGGGCGGGGGCAAGAGGGGGCCACGGTCCCCCCTACATCATGCAGTGCCCCCCTTGAAATTTAAGTCGGGAGCAGTGAGTCTCCCTTCACAAGCTGCAGCAGCACCACTGTTACTGTGAAACTGTGTTGCACCCTTTCCCCACGAGCAGCCAGAAGGGAGCACTGTGCTGGGAGGACTTCCTCCTGGGTCACAGATAGCAGCGCAGGGAGGACTCTCAGCCCTGCACAGAGGCATCCAGGCAACTACAGTCTGTGTGTGTGTGTGTGTGTGTATGGGACGGTCTGTGTGGGGGGGGGAGGTTCAGTCTGTGTGTGGGGGGGGTCAGTTTGTGTGTATGGATCAGTTTGTGTGGGGTGCGTCAGTCTGTGTGTGTGGGGCACTCAGTCTGTGTGTTTATGGGTCAGTCTGTTTGGGGGGGGTCAGTTTGTGTGCGTTGGGGTCAGTCTGTGTGTGTATGTGTCAGTCTGTGTATGTGTGTGTGTATGGGTCAGTCTGTATGTGTGGGGGGTCAGTGGGTGTGTGTATGTATTGGTCAGTCTGTGTGTTTGGGGGTCAGTCTGTGTATGTATGAGTCAGTCTGTGTGTGCATGGGTCAGTCCGTGTATGTGGGTGAGCAGTCTGTGTGTGTGTGTGTGTGTGTGTGTGTGTGTATGGGTCAGTCTGAATGTGTGGGGGGTCAGTGTGTGTATGTATATGGGTCAGTCTGTGTGTTTGGGGGTCAGTCTGTGTGTGCATGGGTCAGACTGTGTATGTGGGTGAGCAGTCTGTGTGTGTGGGGGGGTTAGTATGTGTATGTGTGTAGCTAAGTCTGTGGGTTTGTATGGGTCAGTATGTGTAGGTGCTAGATCTACAAGATAGATACCTTTCATTTGGTGACCTCCCCTATACCGAGTGGATAGACAGCCTTCTCAACCAGCACAAATCTGACCTATTCCCAGCAAGGGAAAAGGGGATCAGGGAAAATGGAAATATTATTTTTACTGAACACAGTACACCCTCACAGATAGTGAACCCCCACATATAGTACACTCCCATCAACACAAACTACACATTTGCATACACACACAGAGCACCCCTAACACACATCATCTCATCACCCACATACACACTTCTTCCCCACGTATCTTCACCACCACACACATGTGTAAATGCATACATACATGCTTCACGCCATTACACACCGAATCTCATATCTATATATATAATAATATAATAACTACAGCAAGTTGATAAGCACACAATGCAACCCCAATATACATACAATCACAATGCAGCCCCTAGATGCACACGTACACACTTTACAGGCCCTTTCAGCACACACACAATCTCAAAACCTCCTATGCATGTCTGCCTGACATGGAGCACCTCCACTGTGGATGGATGGAGTATTTACACGGTATCAGTGTGCAGGGTTCTTTGTTTATTTTATACAGGGACAGACACACACTCTGACTGAGACACACACACTGAGACACACACACACACACACACATACACACACATTTTCTCACAAATTGCTATTTTTATTTAAATTCACCCAGCCTCCCTACCTCTGGGAGAGCTGAGTGGATCTTTCTCTGGCGTCCAGTGTGTCTCCTCTCAATCTTCCTGCAGTTTCTCTCTGCTCCCCTGCGCACTCTCTGTAGTGATGCTGGGGCCGGAGTGACATCATGTCACTAAACAGCGTGTGAGGGAGCAGAGAAGAACTGCAGAAAGGTTACTGCTCCCTTGCGCGCCACCTCCATGTTCCCCGCGGCGGCTGGCTTTAATGTTTCCTGTATGGCTTAGCAAAAGGCTGACAAATGCCAGGTGCCAGGGTGAAATGTCTAGTCGCCATGGCGACCTGGCTCCTGAAGTTTGTCGAGCCCTGTGTATGTATGTGTGTGTGTGTATATATATATACACACATAAGGGACCAATGACAAAAGCAGGGGGAGAATTATAAAATGTGTATATGTGTATGTATGTGTGTGTGTGTGTATATATATATATATATATATATATATATACACACATAAGGGACCAATGACAAAAGCAGGGGGGCAATTATAAAATGTGTATATGTGTGTGTGTGTGTGTGTATATATCTATATATATACACACACACACACATATACACATTTTATAACTGCCCCCCTGCTTTTGACATTGGTCCCTTATACACACACACACACACACACATTTTATAATTCTCCCCTGCTTTTGTCATTGGCCCCTTATGAGCGCACCCTTAAGTATAAATCCTGGAGATGCCACTGATTGTAAGCTCAATTGAGCAAGACCTTCTTCATTTCTTGTCTTTGTTATATTCCATATGTAAATAAATTGTTGTTGACCACTCCCATATTATAATTGTAAAGCACTGCGGAAAATGTCGGTGGCTCTGTGTAACATGTTGCCTCTATATAAATTATGATAATAAGAATAATATACTGACAGACAAAATGATATTGTGAAGATGCCTTATTCTTGCTGTGATCCGTGGGTTGAGAGTTCTTCTTTTGAAGAGTAGGATTATCTGTATTAAACACTGAGCAGGCAGCAACCACTTTTCTTTTATATTTTGTTAGATGCAGGATCGAGCTCAGCACATTAACGCACTGCACTCAAAATGTTCTATGTATGAATAATCTTTTGTGAATTTAACTATTAATAAATACTTCAGGCAAGGATGCCCTTTATTTTAACTAGCACATTAATATGTTGATTCTGTTTCATAGTGCCTTGCATTAAACTGCTCAGTATCTCCAGCTGGCAAGGAAAGCGTTAAACTTGTTTAATCAGTATTGGTTTAGAATGAGAAGGATTTTACAAATCAAAAACATGACTTCACTGTGTAACTTGAACATCTGGTATGAGGCGGCAGGATTCCTTTCCAAATACTACATTTTAGATACATTCGTTTGATGGAAAAAATATGTTAAAACTAAAATCTGGAGACAAAGAAAGCAGCCTCGTGAGATTTCAGGCTTTTTGTTTAAGACTTTTCTTGAAAAGGGGTTTTGCTTCTCTCACTGCAGCATGACTGTAATGAAAACCATTTCTCATTATCACACATACTTCTCTAAGACACAGTGCATGTTTCATTGAAATAAAGGAATGGAGAGAGGCCACTTGGATAACTAATGGAAGATGTTAGACATAAAAAAAATAATGTCACGCATTTGCAACTGCTACGGCATAAGAATTAACTTCCATGAGCTATCCAACATAAATGTGCATACATAATAAATAATCACAGTGTTAATGGATCTGAGTACAAGAAAGTGCTGCTTAAAAAATAATTCCTTATTGTTAAATCACTTGTAATAAAATGTCTGTGCCTTTTTCTGTTTTATAGTTAATAGTCTTATGCATTTGCAAATTCTAATTTCTTAATATCAACTGAGATCTGTCAGTTACTCAACACAAATGTACATAGTAAATAATGAGGTTGTTAATAATTTATTTAGCAATATTATGGCTTAAAAGAGCCTACAGCGTGAGGGATGTGATCTTTCCCTGTCTAGTTGTGGGATGGCTGACAAGAGGTGAGGTGGGTATTTGCTTCCAGGGTCCTGGAAAATTTAACTTGTGGGCTACAGCCATATAAAAATGTCTCACTGTCATATGACTGAATCACATAACAACCAAAATGGACAATGGGCAAAGTATTTTGTTTGAGTTGTGATTCATAGATCTAACAGTGGAATCAAAACAAGAAATAATTAATGGTAAAAAAAAAAAAATTTGATTTTATTCACATATCAAGAAGAGAAGAAGTAACCAATAGATAAAAAAAAAAAAGGAGGAGCTATAGTTTAAAACATTTTTCAATTACAAGCGAAACAGGTTAATAAAAGAAAAAGCAAGAAGAATAAAAAATGCATGAGGAATAATGGTAAACAAGAGAAAGAAGGGGAATTGGAGGCAACTCCGTAACATGCATTTCTAAGTAGTGGTGCTGCTATAAATACCAAAATATATACGCACAAAACAAAAATACAGTTTTAAATTTTACAAGCCTATCTAAAGACACCTATCGTAGCAAATAAATACTGGGATTCACTTACACCATATGGCCCTATTGTGTTAAGCCCACCACTAGGCCACAATACCCCAATCTTAGTGGGTTTTACGCTCATTTTAACATGGGAGATGAACATGCTAATTACAATACTTACTGTTTGAACAACTTATAGAGACTCTCCTCAATTTAAGCTTTCCTATGTTAACCTTCAAAGGTGTCCCCATATTGGATAGGTAAAGAAGCGATGAAGACAAAAAAAGATGAGGAATGTGAGTAGGAGAGAAAGGGTGAAGCTTAAGAGAAAAAAGACAATACAAACATAAGAGACACATAGAGAAGCAAAATAGTAGCAAATAAGACAAACCACGAAATGGGGGACCAATGTAAGAAGAGAGAAGAGCAAAAAGCAATAATATGGGGAAGTGCAGTCCACTTTCTTTTAGAGCTGTAGGACCATAACATGTAGAACCTGAGGATGCCAGACTTTGTTAATGTCATGAAGAATTTGGTGATCAAATAATCCATCTTAGATTCCAGACCATTGCACCACAATGGTCTGGAAGCAGTCAGGAGTGATTTCGATAAATGTGATTGAGTTTTACAAAGACTAGATACCACCCAAATTTAATACACTTAAAGCAATTCCACAAAGCCCATCTTACTTTCCCTTTTAGCCTCGGATCTGCTTTTCACTATGCAGTCAAACTAATTTCTGTCTTTGGCTCCATTGTGTTTAACCTCATGTTAAGTGAAAGGGTTACTATAGTGCAATTTGAAATAATCTTATTGATCCTTTTAAGGAATTTTAGTTTTTAAGACTGTGAGTATACGTATTTTACAAACTGATTGTGTTGCTCTCCCTAACACTATATATTATTGAATGCTGTGTTTTATGTTTCAAAATATCTCTCAGAGTTTGTAAAATACATCCTGATCTTAGTTTATTGCTTTAGTTTAAACAGTAAAGTGTTTATGTAGTATAATTTGCCTCTTCTTGATTTAGTCATCAGGTTTCTGAATATTACCTCCAAGGTAATGATTGAATATATATTTTAGTAAAGTATTAACATATATATAGAACCAGCTTACCAGGAAAGTAAAAAAAAGTTAATGATAAGTGAAAAGCACACTTGGTGTGCATAAAGGTGAGTATATAATACATACAAATACATATGCCATATGGAATCCTCTTTAAATGTGGCTATGTTTAAATGTGGCTAAAAAGAAAAAACATAACCAATACAAGTTGTACATAGATAGACAAATCGATGTTCCCAACATGTCCTGTGGTCTCAAACTCACATTTCACTGAACCTTAATATACTTGCTCAAGTATTTCAGCATGGATATAAATATTGGATCCAAAGCAAGTATTCCTCCAGAAGACCCTCCAGAAAAAGGAAACAAGGCACCACTGATTACAACAAGATAATAACATTTATTTCAACAAGCATAAAATGTCTTACATGTAGGTAAGTTTATTGCTACAATGACAGTCCCACATTGCCATATTGGTTCTCTCATGGACATGCAACACCAGTTTCACCAGATACGCTCTGGCAGCCTTTTTACAGCCATTTTTTGCGAAGTCTTTGTCTTTATAAAGTCAAGCTCCGTACCATTAAATTTAAAACTGAATACGTTTTACCCCTTAGTGACCAGACCGTTTTTCAATTTTCTTACCGTTAAGGACCAGAGCAGTTTTTACATTTCCGCGTTGTTTGTGTTTAGCTGTCATTTTCCTCGTACTCATTTACTGTACCCACACATATTATATACCGTTTTTATCTCCATTAAATGGTCTTTTTAAAGATACCCTTATTTTCATCATATCATATAATTTACTATAAAAAAATTATAAAATATGATGAAATAATTTGAAAAATCACACTTTCTCTAATTTTCACCCCCAAAATCTGTTACGTATCTACAATCACCAAAAACACCCATGCTTAATAGTTTCAAAATTTTGTCCTGAGTTTAGAGATACCTAATGTTAACATGTTCTTAGCATTTTTTGCAAGTTATAGGGCTATAAGTACAAGTAGGACATTGCTGTTTCAAAATATATATTTTTAAAATGTATCAATAGTGACATTGTAACACTGTTAACTCATAAATCTAGGAATTACACCTCACATGTACATTTTGTTTTTTTTAAGTAGACAACCCAGGGTATTCAATATGGGGTATGTCCAGTCCTTTTTAATAGCCACTTAGTCACAAACACTGGCCAAAGTTAGCATTTATATTTGTTTGTGTGTTAAAAATGCCAAACATTATTATGAACGCTAACTTTGGCCAGTGTTTGTGATTAAGTGATTACAAAAAAAGACTGAACATACCCTATTTGCAATACCTTGGGTTATTTTCTTTTGCAAATGGTATGCCATCATGGGGGTAATTTTCATTCCTGGGCTATCATACGCTCTCAAAGGCAACATAACTAATCTGGCAAATGTCAAGGGGAAAAAACATAAAATCAAGCCTTATATTTGACCCTGTAACTTTCCAAAACACTATAAAACCTGTACATGGGGTGTACTGTTATACTTGGGAGACTTTGGTGAACACAAATATTAGTGTTTCAAAACAGTGAAACATATCACAACAATTATATCATCAGTGAAAGTGCCGTTTGAGACATTATTTCTGTGATATGTTTTACTGTTTTGAAACACTAATATTTGTGTTTAGCGAAGTCTACCGAGTAAAACAGTACCTTCCTCCTCCCACCCCCATGTACCGGTTTCAAGGTCTCTTGGAAAGTTACAGGGTTAAATTTAGTGCTAGCAAATTAAATTCTCTGAGATAAAAGGATTATGCTTCATCTGCTAGAGGATTACTGGAGAACGGACACTTTACCATTTAACAAGTGGACTCTAATACTGATCTCTTGGAGGACAACTCACATTAATCTTAAGTATAACTTCCAATTTATTAGTTATTAATGAACTGTTTCTTGCTTGCTCAAATCCTCTCTGCTGCATACACACTAATTATAGTGAGGATAACTCCCATCAAGCTTAACCACTATGAACTGTTTCTTGCTTTGCAAATATTCTCTGCTACCTGCATACAATTTCTATTGAAGATTATTCCTATCAACCTAAAGAA